GGAAAATCTAGCACTTAAAGGGTAATTAAAGAGGAGTACTTCACATAGTCCGTGAAGCGGGTCTGAGTTCTGATCATGGTTGGCACGCCGAAGTCTTGATGCCAGGTAGATTGGCGCGTTGGGGCTGGGTAGTGGACGACGGGGTGGCTTGAAGAGTGTGGCCTGAAGTAGCGGCAGGGCAGCCTCGGAGGCCCGCTGACCAGGCCTGTGTTTGTGGACGACGAACTGAAGCCGTGCCGACCACGCCTATCGTTGCGGGTCGGTTTTTTCGTCCACCAGATCCTGCTCGCTTGTCCTGTTCGGTCACCTCCAGGCCTCCCTCAACTTCTTCTTTTTCCACCACCCGCCACTCGCGCCAAATTTTCCCCGTGCACACAAACACACAGTCAACCAGCCACATCAGCATTCCTTTTCGTCGTCGTCCTCTTTTTTCTTCTACATTGAAGTCCGAAATCACCACACAAGGTCATCTCAAGGTCACGTGACCCCCAGGTCACGTGACCCCTCTGAGGTCACGTGACCCCTCTGAGGTCACGTGACCCCCGAGGTCACGTGACCCCTCCAGGTCACGTGACCCCCAAGGTCACGTGGGGGTCACCTTTGGGGTCACGTGGCCTTGAGGTCACCCCCAGGTCACGCCTCCCCGAGGTCACGTGACCCCCTCCCCGAAGTCACGTGACACCCCCCCCGGAGCATATTAAAGAATGAGGGGAGGAGGAGGAGAAGGGGGAGGGGTCTACCCTCCCCTCAGTACCCTTCACTCCTCCTCCTCAAGAGCTGCGCTCCAATTCGGCGTTACAGGGATTTGTAAACGGCTTCCACTTTTTTTTTGTGCTGACATTCTTGCCTACCGGGCTGTCCAAAGCATGCGCAGTGGATCACTTCTGTGGAATATTGAACGCCGCTAACATCTTCATTTCTGGCCGGGGTGAGAAGCGCCAAAAAGGTTGTATAGACTGATCTTTTTTTTTTCGGGGCGGCCGACATGTTGAGTTTTGACGTAGCCGATTGTTGGGCCAAAATAGAAAATCCATTTGTCGATTGGGAGGTGCTAGAATTCAACGTGTTCGCATGCCAAATAGTTCTACTTTTCTCTTATATATGCCATCTTATCTTCATTGTATAGTTACGCTTAAACTACTTAGTTTTTGTCGCCCAACCCAACTGCGTCGTATTTCAACGTGGCAATGTCACACGAAAGCGGTCTATAGAAGAGCAAAAAACTCCGTTTCACTTTAGGGCCGACCGTAACCGACACTGCAATCCGATGAAACCGATCAAGCAGGGCCAAAAATGCATCGTCACAGGCCTGCGCTCATCACCTTTGTGCGTTTACTATCAACGACCAAACCAATCACGTATTTAATGACTGCGCAGCGATTCACGTGCTTTCTTCTGTGCACGATCGGTTCAACCGGTCATGGCAACGAACGCGGTGACAATGCAGTTTTGGTGCTGCTTGGCTATACTTCGTTTCACCTGATGTCCGAGCGCGGACGATGTTATGAGCCGAAGAACCAATCAAACAGCGCAAAAAGCGCAACGTCAAGGGGTGCTCTCTGCGCTACTAGCCGGCTGGAGGAGTACGCACAGAGAGACGGCGAATCCCGCCTTTCAACTGCAGAGCTCGCCGTGACGTTGTGCCTCTTTCGCTGTTTGATTGGCCCTTCGACTCGTAACATCGCCCGCGCTCGGACTTAAGCTGAAATGAAGTATAGAGAGTTTTAGGGAACTGTTTTTTCACGTCCTAAGCAGTACGATGGGCCCTCCAAAGCGAAGTGCGCATGTGCAACCGCAGAAGGCTCGCGGGTGCGCAGTTTGTACCGGAGGGCCCATCGAATCGTCTTGGATGCGGAAAAACGCTTCCCTAAAACTGTTTTTTGGCTCCATCGGACCGCAGCGTGGGCTACGGTCGAAGTTAAGCGAAACGGAGTATACATGAGAGCTTTGGGTTTCCCTACTTCTTTTCTGTCCCTATTAACACGATCATGTAGAGAAAATGTATTAATATTCATTTATTACCTTTTATTTTGCCTATGTGATCACCATAAAATGTTGTCATAGAGAAGCTTTTGGGCACTAATCTCGTTGTTTATAAGACTTTTTTTTTTTTTTTTTGCGAAGAACAGGAAGAGCGAGTGACAATATTTACCGCAGGCATAAAGTTAGATCCGTACATCGCTCTCTCTTACCCGTGACCAGCCACGTCAACTATTTTATAGCACAATCATTCCCAAATCGGCAACCTACGATCCGGTGTTTCACAGCAATGGCTGTTACGGGCTCTTTCCCCACTCGAGAGGCTACAGGGCGACCGTCGTCGATGTTATCACACGACACAGTGACGTCACAGTCACGTGACGGTGCCACACGGCATCATAATTTGAGGTGACGTATGGGTGCCACCTTACGTCACGCGACACCGTGAGGTCACGTGACGCCACGCTGTCAGATGGCACCATTGTTTAATGCTGAACGGCGGCGCTGATGGGAAACACCGACAGTTGCTTTTTGAGCCGAACTAAGCGAATTCCATGAACTGGTCACCGTGCAGACATACAGCTTTATGTAGCATACGCACGTTAGCGGACTCCTCTAGTTAACACAGCCTAATTGAAATGATTGTTCGAGAATCAGTGATGCTTACTAATTTTTGTATTTTTCTGCAAAAAAAACAAACAAACAATGAAAGTCAGAATGCTAATCAATACCGTAATAAATAACAAAACCAGACACCTGAAAAACACAGACATGAGGATAGAACATAAAATGTTAGAAACAAAAACAAAACCAACCGTTTTTTTTTTTTTGCTTTGAACAATGCAAACTATAGTCGGTGACAACTCGAGAAGGTGGGGCGAGGGAATGGAAGGTGAGAGAGAAGGAAATGAACGCAACGATGGCGGGAGAGGGGGAAACCTCATCACCTCGCCAGCGTTGCGTCTGCTTCCTCCTCTCCCACCTGCCTTTCCCTCTTCCTACCTTCTTAACCTGCAACAAACTATTGTATCAAAACATAAAGTTTACCAAACGCTTGCGACGACCGCTCCACGCACGGATGATGGACTTTCTCTTCGAGGGGAAACAAAGAAAATGAACATGCACAAATTGGAAACATTGGGAAGAGAGATTGAGAGAGGAAGAAGAAAAAAAAAGTAAAGCAGCAACAGAGCAAATAATAATTTGAAGCCGGGGTGACTAATGGGGCACTTACTAAAACTTCTTTACGAGCGGTTAGTGTGAATTACAGCCACTCAGCTAGGCTTAGAGTCACGACATGCCATTCCCCGACCGCGTTGCGAGCGCCGCCATCTTGGTGTCAACTGCGTACGGAGCGAGCGCAATTGGAGACCGTCACGATTCCAAAATGTGACCCCCTGAGCTTTGGATGCCGTGTCAAGAATGTCCGTCGATATTATTTTTCTCTGTCGCGAACCGTTTTGATATTTGTGAATGATGGAAGAGCGTTTACCGGGATTTAAGATAAAGCCTTAGATAACCGGTAAGGATATTTCTTTACGAACCAAGATGGCTGACGTGACTCTGAAGCCTAGCCTATCTATAGGGGCTCTATTATGAATACGGGACAGTAGTGGAATTGTAGCTGAAGTTTCAAGTATACACCATGACCCCGGATGAAAAATGTATCGACTACGCGGAGGCTGGCTTGGGGTCGTCCCCAAGTTGTTTGCGTTGAACTCTACGGCGTACATCGTGATCTCCCTCGTGCGGAGGTAGGGAGATCACTCCGGCACCTATTTATACTGTACAATCAATCATTATTCGATCCTAACATGTTCGAAAGGAACTCGACGCGTGGAAAAAACCATAGATTATTGTTTGAAATGCCAATAATAATTGGTATTAGTCGATCAACACTTCCGGTAGTATCTAGTGTCGGAGTTGCGTTACACATACTAATAGGCCTCTTTTACGGGCACCTTAAAAGTGTTTGGACGAACTCTCTTAAAAGAGATTGTCCGATGATATCCATAAGTTACTAAGTTTTTTTTTTTTTTTTTTTTTTGCGCTGGTTTTGTTGAGAGGGCCTAAATTTAGTCAGATGTGATCCTTATTTCATTAAAAGACGGCCGAATATTCGTTAAATCATTTATGAACATAAATAGGAAACTTCACGCCAAATTTAACAAGTGTGCCTGGCTGGTCGTGTCGTGACGTCACTTCAGGCATGAGAACGTCAGAGTCGCGGGCGTTGACTTATTTCCGGTTTTGATCAGAATGGTTGATGGCGCGTACAAAGATCGTTGACGAAGAATTGAGCTTCATTCAATACCGTAAATTTTCTCTTTCTTAGAACGAAGTTATTTGACTGAAACAGCAGTCAAGAGCTGTGGGGGATAACTTTTTGCCTGATGTTACGTCAGAGCTTTCGCTGTTGCCAACGAACACGCTGTCTGTTTTACGGGTGCAATCTGAGCAGTTGGGCTCTGTTTAAAATTGAATTACTTGTTGCGGTGGAGGATTAAAAATTAGGATATTGTGCGAATGATATTCCTAAAAGCAATGAACATACACTTTTTTCTAATACAAAATTTTACAAGACAATAGCTTAAAAAAACTCCTCGTTCAGCGCATGCCGATGGGCATGTGCAGAATCGCGATCGTGAGCTGATTCGCCGATTCTTTAAGAGAGTCCTGTCTGAAGGCTTTTTGAGTGCCCGTGAAGCAGCGCTCCAAGCATAATAAAAATAAATTGGATAGTTTTTTTTTCTCTTTTTTTACTGATGCGTTTTACAAACCAGCTTTAGAAGCAAGCCTTACACTTCCGCGTTTAATAATTAGTGTTGCGAGTAAGCATGCTTGGAGGGTCCCTAAGAAGGGGCTGAGAATATGAATCCACTTTGTAGGGTCTTAAAACGGAGATGGCTCCGACAGTTCTCAAAAAGCGTTAATTGAAATTCTTTCAAGCGTAGCTGTCTTTAGGCGCGCGCAGCCATCGATCGCTGGCGTTGCCGGAGGGTGGAAGCGGAGCGTTTTACCTTGAAGGCTTTGTCCACGGCGGTCTGAATATCCACGTCCTTGTCTTCCTCGATTTCCCGTCTTCGCATGCCAGTGCACATAATAAAGGCCAACTGAAAAAAAAAAGAACTAGAATTAATGCAGCGCTCGACAGTATTTACGATATATTACTGTACAATATCGTGCAATATTTATAGTTACAGGATGAGCGCTAGTTATAAAGGCTAGAGTAAAAAATAAACCTTCAGTTACTGACTGGTCTTGCCATGCTGACCAGAAATGTCCGAGCCTTCCTAACCTTTCGTCAGGAGCTCTGGACAGAGCCTTCTAATCGCCCTTTTTTAACGGTTTACTCGGGGATACATCGTGACTGTTCGAATAAATATCATCGGGTCTTTTTGCCCTGTTTTGTTTGGCAACAGACTCAGTGGCGTCATCTGTTGGGTAGCCCCGTCTCACTTCCGGTTCACGCATATTTTCTAATTTTCTACTCATCAATCTTTTATCGTAAGAGTGATTTAAGTCTGGCAGTGCCATTTCCAGAAGATAGCGTGCTTATATGATTTCGCACATATGATTTCGGCCTGTCACAAAGCTTGGGTGGTCAGTACACTGTTGTGTAGGTCGAAGACTATACGGAGCGCAAGTTCGTCTGCTTCTTGCGCGGAGATTGGTGTGACGTCAGAACGCCGAGCCCTGATTGGCTCTGATTGAAGGATAGTGGGTAGACGTCAAGGTAGCTTGCTTTCAAGTCTGGCCACCATCCTTCCAATCAGACTCGACTGGAGATCGGCGTTCTGACGTCACCACAACCCCTGCAAAAGAAGCAGACGAACTTGCGCTCCGCATATATGGTCGCCTGAAACGGACAGCAGAAAAGGAGAGCAAATCGTCCGTGCTGATCTAAAGAAGAATTCACTCTCAGAAAAAAAGGTGTATTATTACACCCCTTGTCCCATATAATACACCCCAAAATTTCAATTCGACGTACAGCGCCCCATAATCGAACAGGCGGCCCCAAAGTTTACGAGGGGCTTGATAGCTGTGTGGTACAGTTTATTAAGATAGCTGATGCACGTATTATTGACTACAAAAAAGATTATCGGAGTTTTCTTGGCCGCACTGCAAAAGCTTCATGTTTTATTTCTTTGGTCTTTGATACGTGCTTTAGCAATTTAATAAGTTATATTGCACCGTTATCAAGCCCCTGGTAAAATTTCGTGCCGTCTGTTCGACTCTAGGGCGCTGTACGTCGAAATGAAGTTTTGGGGTGTATTATATGGGACAAAAGGGTGTAAGGTGATACCCTTTTTTTTTAGACTGAAGGGGTGCACGAGCCCCGTTATTCGCCGCGTTGCCCGTTGTCAAACCTGAGATCATTGCCACCAGCAGCCACAGGCAGGTAGGCCTGCCTCGCTCAAACCTCGCGCGTTTGCGTACCCTACATCAAAAGAGCGAGCGAAGCACTGGCGCACGTGCTAGCCAACGAAGGAGTCAACGTGGCCCACAAGCAGACGTCCATGCTTGGAAGGCTCGTGCCTCGTCCAAAAGACCCCCGCCGAAATAAAAAAGAACGCGAGGCGTTGTTTATGAGATTCCTTATGCGGACTCCCCCCAGCCACCCACATCGGCGTTACTTAAAACTTGAGTGAAAGAATCCGAACGCAAAAACGACGTGCGGAAGTTCGACCACGAGTGCAGCGCAGTCGATGAGCACTGCGACGTCAGAACCACGGTATCGCCTCCAACAACAGCGTCATCGACGCGGAGACTCACCCCCGGCGTATAGACTTTTCATTGAATCCTGGCATATCCAAACGACGCCAGAAAACGTAAATAGGCGCTTCGGTGCTCTGCCAGCAGTCTATGGCAAAGGCAAAGGAAGATGGAAAAATACTGCTGCTCAACGGCCATCGCCATAGTCACCCCCGAAGAAGGGTCGAGTAGGCCTCGAATCGAGGGCCTCTATTTTTAGGATTTGGTTGGTCGTACTTTAATTATTTAAGCCCTATTTCAGTTACATTAATTCTCCAGTCAGGGGTGATTGAAGGCCTGTCTAATTGCGGTGGTCCCCCAAACTTTTCTTTTAGCGTTTTTAGTGGATATCTTTTGCACAGCCTCTAGCGTACACGAACTAATTTTGAAATCCATGGCGAACCAAGTGCGCGGTCGTTTTCAAAATAAACCGCAAAAAAGTTCGGGGAACAAACAAAAAAACAAACAACAGACAGAGAAAAAAGAAAAGATAACGACAGGGCAAAAAATCCCAAGACATTATTTTAATGCGCCAAACATTTATGCGAGCTCGGTCGGTTTCCCACCCACTTGCGCCGAAAAGTTACGGCCGCGGTTATACCAATATAAGCTAAGGAGAAAAAGAAATAATTCAGGGCAAACTCGGAGAACTCCGGTGCTCATTTGAATGCCAAACGTATCCTAATCGCCTCTATTTTCGAAATTTTTCGCGATCACTCCCACTTCCGAGATTCTTCCACCTCCAGCACAGATGACAACAGTGTAACTTTTGCTGACTTTTTCTTCTCAGTATTGTTACGCTTATTCGAACACCTTAAGTGGAGAAGTCTCGACGCTAAAGATCCCAAGACACCCTAAATTCCCCCGCCGCTCTTTTTTTTTTTTTTTTTGTTGTTATGTCAACAGAACGGATATTGTATTTATGTATGAATGCGCAGCGTGTCATTGCATATAGTGACTTTTTTCTTCTTTTTTTTTCACGAACCTGTTTACCGACTAGTTTCAGTTTCGCCTTTATTTTTGTATCTTCGGAGAGTACGAGTTCTCGCAAGACGACATGAAAAGGGTTCCTTCTCGGGAAGGAACTTCCGGATGAGGGCCGACGTGGAACCGAAGCGTTCTCGGGGCTCGGATCGCGTTCACGCGTGGCTCGAGAATAGAAAAAAATAATCGTAAAAAAAATGGTTCAAGTTTTCTGAGATGAAAGCGAACCTCTTGCGTCAGGCCCTGCACTCCGCTCAGCCCGCAGCTGACAGTGCAGTGGGAGCTACGCGCTCGCCAGATAAGCAGCCGCCCTCCGCTTTAGTACCCGATCCCACTGTGCGCCTGGGTATGAGCAGGAGGGTGATCACGTGACGAAAGGCAGGCGTATGACTGGTCCAACGAGTACGTAGCTTCCACCGCACTGTCAGCTTAAGGGCCCAACGGAGTATACACGTGCAGGCCCTCGGGTATGGGCGGACTTGGAAAGAGAAGATATAACGACACTCCGTCCGTGGATCCAGGACAGCCCTCTTATCGCCCTGCCATGCAAACTTACCTATCCTCCTCAAAAGTTGGAAGTAATTTAGGCTGTCGGTTACCTGTGGAACGAAGCTGTCCTAACTGTTATCGATTGGCTCTTTAGAACGGGCGTCGAACGATTTATTGCCTACACACGGCAACGTTTTTTCTTTTTTTTTTTTTAGGTAGCAGTTGCTTACGAAATTTCGCCGCGGATCTTCCTGTACGTTTAATGCAGGATTTAGAATGGACAGCGTGCTGGTAAGGAGAATATAAATGATGGGAGGAAGTGGGAAGTCGTTTTGTCCGTCCTTGTTTTGTGTTCTTTCCATTATTGATATTTTTTCATGTAGGGTCGTCGCAACAGTGACGTCCTAGTCCAACCAAGGTCACTAGATTAGCTCAACTCCCGCGAAGGGGCTCAAAAACTGTCTATTGCGTAGAGTATATGCACTCTAAAAAAAGTCCGTTCTTGAAAAGGTTCTTCGACGCCCCAAGACCTCTTTCAGCTCCTGCAGAACGGTTTCGCCTCGAGCACCATCGCCCCCTGGCGCACTAGAAGAGCAACTGGATTAAAAAAAGAGCTTAAAAGAACCCCTTTTAGGGTTTTTCACAAAGAACCCTTTTAGGGAGTGCTTAAAAGAACATTTTAGGTTGAGAAATATGGACAAGCCGAAGAACCCCTAAGAGTTGTTTTACGACCAGATATTTTTTAGAGCGTGAGGTCAAGCAGCATCAAGTTGTTGTTGTTGAGGAAATCTTTTATTTTATGAAAAGAAAGGGATATGGGGACTAGAAAGAAATAGGTGATCTTGATCGAGGCTGTGCCTTAATATATATGCATTCCTCATCAGGGTACGCTGAAGTTACTCTATAGTGGCCATCCCCAAAACGGAGGTGCGTCAAACGACGGAACGCGAACCGTGGGGAAAGAGGGGTTACTGCTCGTGCAAGCAGCGGCGTCCATCTGATCTCAGCAGCAGCAGCAGCTCTATCTGAGCTTCTGCTCAGATCTGATCTGATCTGAGCTGCTTGCTTAGATCTGCTGATCTGAGCTGCTCGCTTAGATCTGCTGATCTGAGCAAGCAACAGCGTCCATCTGAGCTTCTGCTCAGATCTTATCTGATCTGAGCAGCAGCAGCAGCTCCATCTGAGCAGCTGCTCAGATCTGATGTGATCTGAGCTGCTTGCTTAAATCTGCTGATCTGAGCAAGCAGCAGCGTCCATCTGAGCTGCTGCTGAGATCTTATCTGATCTGAGCAGCAGCAGCAGCTCCATCTGAGCTGCTGCTCAGATCTGATCTGATCTGAGCTGCTTGCTTAGATGTGCTGATCTGAGCAAGCAGCAGCGTCCATCTGAGCTGATCTAGTAACGTTGAGTGCGACGTGACGCCGTGGCGTAATGTGACGTCACTTCACGCCGTGACATTTATGGAGACATTTTGCGGGAACATTAGTTAGCTACATTTATCGGAAAAATGTCCGCATGCGGTGTGATCGTCGTTGCGTCATAGTATGCGTGGTGCAGAGGGTGCAGCAGACTTGGCATTGCCTCGCTTGTCGACAAAATTTGTTTGAAAAGACAGTGATTTTTTTTGTTGTTGTTCACAATATTTCTTTTCTCAAATATTTTATCACGTGACTATTTACCCACTTATCTAAGTTATTTTTACGCATACAACATATTAAATGAAAATAATTTTTTTTTAAATTTAGTTTTAATTTTTACTTTATTTTCCTTTTCACCGGACGTTCCAAGGTAACGTCCTACCGTTCTTGCTCTCTCAGTGACTATACCTAATAGTTCGCTGCAGAACTAAATAACAAAAAAAATTACAAAATCTTCTTTTTTGATGTTTTGAATGCTTAGACGAGGAAACCCTAACGACAGCATAGAGTAATCGCTGGGCGTAAAATACCGATTCACAAAATGTGTTTCAATATGTTTTGAGAGTGCTCCCACAGCAATATTTCCAATATATTAAAATTATAGAATGTTATTTCAGATAAATAAAAGATAAGCTCTATATTTTTTTTTATAATAATCTCAGTTATTATTTACATTTCAGGTTTCGCAAGATATGTCTTTAATCGTAATACATCCAAGACTAGTCAAAAAAAGAAGAAATAAAGAAGACGGCTATCACGACGCCGTGATTGGTTGAGACGTTGAGACGTTGTGTGTGGTTGTCCGTCTTTGTGTCGGTGTTTTCTCCCTTTAAATGTCTTTTATATTTTATAACTTTCAGCGTAATTTATTGATATTAGTAAGCAGTATGGACATCTCAAGAAGACATACTACAGGCTGCAGCGTAAATGTTCCTTTTTCTTCGAATATAAAGATTTTTTTTCTTAGGGAGCTTAAGTAGGTCGTTTTCCAGGGCCCGCTACCGTAACGGGCACGCGCTTCAGAGCATGCATCGAAGTGGCAGCGCAAGCTCCAGCTACAAATGGCGGGACCTGAAAACACGATCTACTAAGACTCTCTATTAATGTTACGTGACACCATCGGCTATGTTACGTGCCCTTATCGGGCGGTTGAACAAAATATCACAGCTTCCAATATCGTCGCTGCGCCGACGGAAGGATAGACAGCGTTCACGCGACTTTTGCCTTTCAGGAAGCAGTCCCAAGAAGCCTTCTTCAACGTTCGCAGAAGCTCTGACCTTACAAACATCAGCGAAACCGACGCCGCGTAGCGGCAACGCCGAGAATCTCCGAAGGGGAGGTCGTTCCGAATCTGTCGTCTGCTACCGCTGCTTGATTCCCGTAGGTACCATAGAAACAGACATAGCTTCCAGTAAATATTTTTATGCTTCCACCTTGTCATGCATACGCACAAACTAGAAGGAGGTCTCTACCGTCGAAAAATCTCTTTGCTTTCCTATGTAACACCGATTTTAATCTGCCGTCAAAAAATATATATGGTGGTCCGTGGGCTGAACGACGAAAACGACCTCCTTTCGTTCGCCATTTTGCCCGCTGGAGTCGCGAATATGCGCTTGCGTTTGGGATAGTCAACGTAAAAGAGAAGATCCGCGTACTCACCTTGGCGATCCAGCCGATAAAGAAGTACCGGGAAAAGTAGAGGAAGAGCAGGAAATGAGGCAACGCTTGAGGATCCTCCGGAGCGGAAATGATCAGGAAGGCTTTATTCTGAGAGGAAACAGAGCGTTAACAATCCGAATTTCTTACTGCCTTGAAGACAGTAGTACGTCAATTTAGAAACTAGCTCGACACACAACGGTCTGGATTTGAGTATTTGCCTAATAAGACCCTTAAAATGTCTGATCTGCGCAATATGTGTCCCAATTCAGGCGGATTGAGAATTTGCTAGCTAGGGAACGCCAACTTCCACTTGCTTTTGATGCTGTCTGTGTTCTATAAGGGCCTTCTGCTGCTCTGTTCCGGAGTGACTTTAGAATATGCTCAAATCAGGAACGTTAGGCCTAGAAAAAGCCCCGCAGCACCACACGCGGCGCCCTTTCCCTTCGCAGAAATGCGTGACGTCATAGCCCATGAAAGTCCAGCCACTGCCCGGAAAATGGCTACTTCAATGACCTTTGCTAGAGGGCGCCCAATGACGCAACCTTCTGTGCAAAGATTAGCGCTAGAGGAGGTCAGGGGTGTCAGGGTTGTTTTCTTGCATATTTGTTTTACCACATTATATGTCGTCAGATTTGTTCGACATCGAAAAGTAAGTTCGCCAGAAAATGGCGTCTGGCGCCTCCATTTTAACCACCAACGCTGATTGCAGTTGCAGTTATCAGTTGTAGCGAATGTAAGCTATTCATATAAGGAGTATTTCGAAGGCGCATTGAATTTCCTTCAGCTATTGCGTTTCATAAAAAAGGACAACTGGTCGGAGTTCCGGCGTTGGTAACACCAGACACTGAAGTAGACTAATTTTATACTCTTATGAGGTATGCAAAGTATATTCAACAATATCTTTTATTTTTTGCTTTTTAGTATTTGAGGTATACTTTTAGTGCTCGTAACCTAGAGGTGCGGTCTTCAAGTCGATCCAGCCTGAGTGTGCGTAGTAAAAGTATACATTTAATATACGGCTAATAAGCTAAAAATGAATCTAAGCATAATTTACGAAGTGCTTCCTAACAGCACAAAATCAGTTTTAATGTATTACATATATCCAAGACCAGTGTTGCAGGAATGAAAACAAATGCGTGCGTAACCTAGTATTCTACCATGGATTGATTTTTTTTTTTTTTTTACTTACGTAGTTTTGAGTAAGGAAGTAGACAGTCACTGCAATCGACAGCAGAAGCGCCACGGCGCTAGTGATGGAGAAGACGAGAAACGCGAGTACCTTGTTACCCTGGAAGTAACAACAGCACCAGAATGTTAGAAATAAACGCAAACTTGGCCGTATTTGCTGTCCCGTCACCGGAACAAGATAATCACATTAAGACCCTGTCAAAGAGATGTCTTCTTTACAGAGTAAATAATGACCTAGCTACAATCGGACATAGGCCGGGCACCTTTGTTAGACGGTAAAGAGAAAGATAGAAGGACTTATACATGGAAATTTCAAACACAAATTGGGGAAACCGAACCCGGAAGCCAAAATTTAAATACCTACACACTGGTGACGGTGCTAGACTAGTTCAACTAAAAAAAGTAAAAAAAAAAAAAAAAAGCAACAAAAAAAAAGCAAAAAAAAAAAGTGAGAGGCGAGAATGCAAGGGAAATTAAATTTCGGTAATGCGCAGGTCGGGAAAACAAGATATGAATGAAGGGTTTGATAATTTAGGTACTTGATATTTTACTTGTGCACCTCTTTACTGTTTGAGGCTAAAATATAAGTTATAATATAAGGTCAAATTTTAAGAGGTAGAAACATTGTGCGCCGTGGGTCATATAGACGGCGATACTTAGAAACATGGTTTTGATGTGCACGGAGCTTCGTGTTCAGCGCTGTCTGAAGGGGTAAGGTATCTTGCGGGAGCGCTGGGTTGTGCAGACGAAGTTGGAAGAACGGGCGATAAAAATATTGCAGACACAAAGAGGAGGCTAGAATATTAGAGGGAAAGGTCTAAAGAAGCGTAATGTTACAGAAAATTGGTGGTTTAGACGATTTACCGAAACAAAAGTCACAGAAAAAATTAAATTTAAAAGGAAGGGATGTAAATGTTTCTAGGATAGATGGCGCAAGCTACCACCCCATATTAAGAGTTTGGCCACTAGCATCCATACATATATATCCAACTTTTTTTAAATGAGACAGGCCCGATAAGCATCAACGTACCGCGTTCCCTAACCTAAATCAGCGAACCCCAGAGGGGACCTAAGGTATTCGAGTTAGAATTGGTTTTACTATATTAATAAAAGGCCTGTCATTACGGTGAATGTTTTAATGTCAACATTATAAAGTGTGGCCCGTAACTTTTTTTATGTGTTTTTATGGGGCTCGGAGGAAACTATACGGGTGAACAAGCGTCACGATAAGGTGAGTAAACAGCTAAAATTCGTTAATTTGATTTGTTAGTTAGATCATGTTGCAATTGCTATTTGAAAGGAACTCATTAACAGAGTCTAAATCTAGAACAATCTGCGAATCGGGTTTTGAGATGTGCATCGATGAGCAGTTTAGTTTCCCGATTCTGAAACCGGACGCAGGAAGAGCACCGGAAGTCGTGCCCTCAATAACGCATATAAGTGCGACGCAGTCATTTCAGTCACGTCGTCACTATCTCGATAGCGCGCCCTTGATAGACGTGCCGACGGCACGCTGCCGAGATAATGACTTGTTGCAAAAACGTGTACGCCATTCTCTTACGCTTGCTTCTGAACAAGGCTCCCGGAGCTTTTCTTGCATCCAGTTTCAGATAGGCGACAAAAACGCGAAAACTTATCGACAAATACCCATAAGGCGATTGCTTTTTCGCAAAGCATTTCAATTGATTTATCCTCCAATATAAATTACCATCAAGACGGCAATTGTAACGCGATCCATCAAACTGTTACTAAAAAGATAATGAACAAATTTTAGGCATAAACTGTTATACTTCCCCGTAGCGTCGGTCGAGACGGGATCCGTGTACCGTTCACTTCCCTTTAAACAGTAAGTCTGTTCGAATTAAAGCAACCATCTTGTATATACTGTAAAATGGAAATTGTTTAAATTTATCATAGTATTGAGGAGCCACATGCTTTGATTTGATAGCATGTGCTCAGGAGACGACGAAGTTTTATCGAATGTAGAAATCTCGCGTTAGAAGCGGATAATCTATTGCATTCTCAACTGGTCACCGACTATAAAAGGTGCACTTTTAGTACATAGTAGTTGCGCTGCGATAATGATAGCCCATTACAATACGATGCACCCGCAAAAGGTATCGACGGAGTATCGGGTACAGTTATCGGAATGGGAAAAAAAAAACAAAAAAAAAACACGCTATACTATCATTTCTTAGAATCTTCGTGCCCTTTATGGAGCGATATCTTCGGCGTTGGAGATAAAGGCTTACCCGGTTTCCCCATATTAAGAGAAGGGCGGGCACCAGGTACACCAGATGGAAGGCCAAGAAGGAGATGACGCAGTAGGTGTATTCTGTAACAAGGTTATACAAGCACAGTGCATTATAGAGACCAACATGCTGTTTACAAAGAAGTCCGCGAGTGCCCACACCAGGCCTGGCCACTGCGCAGAAACCATATTTGCATGAGAGGAAGCGCCTCCGCATGCGCAGTACCGACAGCAGCGCCACCCCAGCGGCGTGATGTCAGAGGGTTGAGTTAGTGTATATATGGTTCTGCGTTTTAGGCGTATACCGGTAAACGCCGAAAATGAACTCCCAAACGGGTTATCTGAAAATCAGAAGAAAAAATAACGACAACAACAAAAACAACGAAAAGCTCCGAATAAAAAAATATTTTTCCTCAAATAAAGAAAAAAACAATTTTTACAGGACGAAATATTTATCTAGAGATTTATTTTGTCTTGACCCGGAAAGCAGCCAACTTTAGACGGTACTCATCCTAAGTAATCAAATTACTGTTAATCGATTGATTTTTGGACTACATTTTTCACCTTCTGATTACTTGTGTTGGGTGGTAATCACAAGAGTAGTCTGATTACGTTTGAAACTAATAAAATTATTCGTAAGCGTTACTAATTTCATTTCCCTTCCTAACTGTGTGCTTTGTTTCCAGAACTTTTCCACCAAGGAATCCTCCAACCGACTTTTTTCAAGAGGATGGTCTACATCCCCTTGTGGATGTAGACCACCCCCTTGTGGTGGTGGATATAAAAATGTTTGTAATTCGGTCATTCTAACCCAATAACGGATGGCACGAAAGACCCGTTTTTCAAGCCGCGAGAGAGATATGCCGTTTTTGAAAATCTGAATTAATTGGAAAGAGTAATTAAATATACTAATTGAAGACTTTTTGATTCAGAATAATTGTAATCAATTACTTTTTTGAGTAACCTGTTCAAAACTGAACACAGCCAGCGCTGAACTGTCGGCAAAGCTGATGGTTTCTTAGAAAGTCACACCCTTTTATCGCGTTTCCTTTTCCTATCGGTACCGGGGCGATTTCTAAGTATTCGTGTCACGCCCTTGTTCCCAGAAGGGTGGGAAATCCTACGCCCGTGTTTTGCTTTCTTCAACATAAGCTCCGATCAACGCCGACTTTTTTGTTAGACAACGAAAATTTGACACCGTAAAACTCAGAATCTCTGTCTGCGTGTGTGTTCGTGAGTGTGTGTGTGTGTGTGTGTGTGTGTGTGTGTGTGCGTGCGTGCGTGCGTGTGTGTGTGTGTTTGTGTGCGTGCGTGCGTGCGTGCGTGCGTGCGTGTGTGCGCGTGTGTGCGTGTGTGCGTGTGTGCGTGTGTGTGTGTGCGTGTGTGTTTGTGCGTGTAGGTGTGTGTGCGTGTGTGTGCGTGTGTGTCGGGGGGGGAAGGGGGGAGGGGGGATTAGCCGCCAAAAATACCCTAAATTCGAAAAAAAAAAAACACACCTGAGGACATGAAACTTAGTAATAAATAAGGTTCCGTGTGTTTGGTGTTCATTTTAGTTTTCAAATTCAGGATGTGTGTTTTTTTTTGTTTTTTTTTGGGGGGGGGGGGAGGGGGTATTTTTCTACAGATTCGGTGTTTTTGTGATAATTTGTCTTGTCTAAATTAGTTCCAACTTAAACAATTTCCCCCAAAAATTTATACCGAAAACACGGAACTTCAGATATCAAGTGAGGAAGCTTCGGAGGAGAACTGGAACCGTGCGTTAAAAAAAATCTTGCACACTTAGAAATAAAAAAAAAAACGATTAGAAACAAACAAATTTACCACTAGATGAGATCAATACCTGGCTACTATATTCAAAGGTATTCGTGACGTTGCTGATTACTTTTTTGTTACTGTATTAGTTCATACATTTTTAAGCATATATTTATAACTGTGCAAGAATCGTATAAATCGACTAGGTATGGTTCGTCACATTTTGTCAAAAAATGAATTCTCACTGTGCAGCTCAAGTGATGTATTGTTTCAAAAGATGTACGCACCGTTTGCCGTTTTATTTTATTGAAAAATCAGCCAAATGTATCTCGATCATTCACTTCTACGTTGCCGCTAACGGGCTGGTAGTATTAAAAATCAATAGTGTAAATAAATAAATAAATAAGATCACGTTTTTGTTCCAAGTTGATTGACACCGTTTTTTTTTCGGCAAGAATCAGTTTTTTTTTTTTTTTTTTTATGTAACGAGTATTTTCTAGGCGTTTTACCAATTCTGTCCCAGCTACATACTTGAAAACTAATAAAATTCAAAAGGTAGATGATATAAAGTATTTAGGATTAATTACTCTTTTAAATATTTGTGAGCTCGCTAAATAAGTACGTCACCGCGACCCGACCCGACCCCCCCCCCCCCCCCTCCAACAAATATTAAAACTAATGAACAAAAAGTAAGGGCGCAAACGAGCTGGTGTACATTGCACATGGTTGAAAAAAACCCGAGACTGCGGGTAAACGACACAACACTAAAAAGTCTCCCGGAATAGGGGCACACAACCACTCTCTCCTTTTTCTTCCCCCTTCTCCCCTTCCCTTTCCTAAATCTTTCAACTCAATAAAGTTTTTCAACAACAACAACTAACACAGCTGAAATTTTTATCTTCCAAACCTGGTTATATAGGCACTTCGATACAAAAGAAAAAAAGGGGGAGAGGGTGAGAACCCCAAGACTAAAAACTAACCCAGTCGGGGCCTGGCAGAGACCTAATTATGTTGTGGGCTTCGGGTGTGTCTGCCGTAGATGAGACACTTCGCAAGTACCACCGCCAGCCTGGGGTCATTAACGTGCATCCCTCAGTAGTGATACAAAGCCACACGCTGGTATCGAAGCTCATCCAGATCGAAACGGGCAGGGGTGGCCAGATAAACCGGAATCCCCATGTTCTTTGCTGCGCGAGCTTTCGCTCCACAACAAAGACCCCAAAATCGTTCGGCTTAATTAGAGAGTTTGAACGCTCGCATACCCAAACTAAAGGTTTTAACCCGTTTCTTTCAACAATAAAACCAAATTGGCAGATATACGCGCACAAAGGTTTCAACGTACCATAGCGTAATTTAATCTCCTTGAAAGGTATGGACCCGTTCTTTCCTTCCCACAGGTTTCCGTAGTCTTCGGGCGACAGTAGGGTGATCAGACACCACCCACATGCCCAGATTTCGAAGATTTCGAGCTGAAATAAAACGGAATTCAACGGATTACGTTCTTTGCTTTCTCTATACTGTGCCTGGAAGGCGGCTTCGACTGGTGCGTTTAGCGTCCTATATATCTTTCGGCGACGAATCGAAAGTTGCAACAAATGACGTCACAAAAGCCGCAATGTCACTGCTGCCGGACGTCACAATCCTGGCGGTTGCTGTAGAAATGTTGACGAAAACAGGCGAGCGGACGCGAGGGTCGCTGTCATCGCGGCGCCGTGTCTCGTGTCTGATATGTGGCAGGCAAGTTCGTCTGCTCATTTTGCAGGGGTTGGGGTTGACGTCAGAACACCGAGCTCTGAATGGTACTGATCGAAGGAGAGTGGGTGGACTTCGAGGCAACTTGATTTGAGGTCTCCTCACTATCTTTCAATCAGAGCCAACCAGAGCTCGTCGTTCTGACGTCACCACAACCCCTGCAAAGGAAGCAAACGATATTGCGTTCCGCGTCTGCAACAGAGCAGCCGTCGGCTACATCTACCTCTGCCGCTGTGACACCACCAGGATCGCGGCAGGTGCTTTTATGACCTCATCAGACATAAATCTAAGAACCAGATTTGAGGACGCTGCATACACACCAGCCCGAGACGCGCTGAAGAGCGTCACAATGTTGTTCAAAAACATATTTTGGCAGGCGTAAGTTAACCAAAACACGCAAGCATGATAAGCAGTCCCAAAAAATCACCCGCGAGCCACTGACAAAAAAAAGTGTTTTTGCTTACCATATAAAAATAGCATAAATACTGACAGCACGGGAAGAGATACGAGACTAACGTTCTATCAAATTATCAATTTTGGCACATGGGAACGTCATCTGACACTCACGGAAAGATTATTACGATATGCAAAATTATAGTCGGCGACAGGTGAAAGAAGCCACTAGATTATCTGCTTTGAATGCGAGTCTTCTGCCCTTGATAACACTTCGCCGCACGCGCAGCCAAAGCCCAGTGGAAGGCAATGAACGCGTGCCAACGTTATTAGATTAGCTCAGTCACGGAACTGCTCATAGACGCTGCTTGCACGGGCAATACCCCCCTTCACGCACCACGACTCGCTTCCCGTCGTTCGACGCGCCCGACGGCCGCTATAGCAACTCCAGCGTATTCTATGAAATACGTATACGTTTCAAAGCACAGCGTCAAGATAGCGTTCCAGCTGTGCTCTATGGAACACACAGTTATGAAACGAAAATCTGGATGGCGCTTCAAACGACGGGAGGCGGACTGCAGTGAGTGAGGTGGGTACCCCCCCTCCGCGGGAGTTCCACAACTGAGGTAGACTAGTAGCTTTGGCGCGTGTTAGAAGCGATGCATCTGATGACTTCTTAAAGGAGCCATGAAGCGATTTTTCTGGTTTCCCTAAATACTACTTAGAATGACTCCCTAACGTTAATAACTGAATAAACTTGCCTTAGCTTTTCTTTCTAGGCCATGGCAGTCGCCAAATAAATTCGCGAATTATGAGCATCGTTCATCCCCTCAACTCGGAGCCAGAAAACGTGGCCACGTGACCTGGTGCCTACCCTATGCCGCTAACGTTAATCATAGCCACGCGCTGGGGTTGGCAAGGTAAGAAAACACGTGTTCAGCTTCAGGCATTGTTAAAGTTGGAGTATTATCATCACCGCAGTGGCTGGACACGACTCCCTACCCTATAGTGTCCACCGAGGCATTGATTGTTACGAGCCCAAGTCTAGTGTTCACGCAGTTTTCGTGTCCAATCCATGAGCCGCGCTCGACTGTCGTCAGGCGGGTGGTTTTGATACTACAATTACGTCATCAGTTTTTGCGAAGGCAAAACTAAAAGAAATAGTCCCTTTTTATCCTCGCAACTTCGCCGCGACAAACAAGCTTCTGAATCAGTGGCGGTCACTTCCGAGTATAGTTGGGCCAGAAAAGGACCAGCACGCCTCTGCGAAGTCATGAACATTCCAACCCGATATGGCTTCATGACCCCTTTAATCTGTGATTTAATACGGGCAGATGTATTATTAGGGACTTTTAGCAAACGGTTACCGTGTTCCGCATACCGCACTACGGGCGCCTGGTCACGGTGTCACCCGGGCGCGCGCTTAAAGGCATGCTTCAAGGGCGCCCGTAGTGCGGTACGCGGAACACGGTAACGGTTTGCTAAAAGTCACAGTTAACAGCGCGTCTGTACTTCACTCATAAACACCGCACCCTCTGCTTTTAAAGTGCCTTGTTTTGTATCTTCTACGTTTTCTTTTTTCGCTCCTGCTTGAATTGCTATATGTTCTAAATAAGTAAAAACAAATTTAAACGAATGCATAATGGTACTTCGGGTCCCAACAAGTACAGAACCTTCAGTCACGCGCCAACCTCAGGCACATGAGAGTTAAAGGGAAACTAAGGCGCTTCTGTATTTGAGGGAAAAAAAAAAGAAACACTTAAATCGTCTTAATTTGGCCTCCAGGATCACGAATATCGAGATTATTTTTCAACTTGGTGCACGGAGGGCGCAGAAGGCATTTTTAAAGTACCGTTGAAGCCCTTCCCGGAGATGGCATGATATACAGATTTTTCGGAATCTCAGCTCCCGCGCTTCTTCAACGCCTGTCAAAGCTATGTTCGTGCACTTTCGCTATTTTCAGAAAGGACAGAAAAAAAACGTCACGACTGGTGTCAGTGCGAGGGAATATACCTGGCAAGCCCGCAATTGCACGCGCTGCCCACACGAGCGACTCGCGCTCGGCGGCCAAAACATCTGTGTATGACGTAACAAGTGGTCGGAGGGTTTTCGTGTTTTCTCGTGTTCAGTTACATTTTCACGGGAAACGAACGTCATATTCAGATTCGCGGAATAAAAATACTCGAGAATTCACCTCTAACTCGTTTTTTTGAAGGACCTCTTTAGCTTCCCTTTAAGCGTCTTGTTTCTTCGCTTCCTTTAATTCGCCTTTATATAAAGAGCAATTTTTAAATCCGTTCAAAGATATCGAATACCTTAGTAGAAATCTTTAAAAAAAGTATAATTATCTATACTCCTTGTCAAAAAAATTCGGCAGAGACACTTAAAACTGCTTACGTGTAGGAATGCTTTCGCATTCCTACACGTAGCGCATTTCTACAAGCAGCGCGCCACGTCTTCCTATCGCGCACGGCGCTACGGCGGTGACATCCCGCTCCCCCACTGCGCAGGCGCGACGAACCCTGTCGGCTTCACGACGGCTTCTGTGACGAAGCATCGCGTAACTGCGCTTTTCTTTGCGTTTTATTTCTGAAGCGTGTCCGTTTTGACTACTGAATAACTTGTTTTCGTTACGAGAATATAGGCTGTTTGCTTGACCAAGGGTGTGCATTTAGCAGTCTATTAGTTTACTAGTGGATTTATGGCCGGTATATATGGCTGCATCAATTATGGAGGCAACGGAAGTGACGTACATTGAATGTCGAAGGCGAGATAAGATGTAAATGTCGCACTCAACAATGGTAGTAAGCCCCACGAAACGCAACATACCGGATAACAGATTAACCGCTCAGCTTCCGACCATCTTGATATTATGGCATATCTAAAGCTTAGCACTGTGAAACGTTCTTTGTCTAAATAATTCACACGAATACAAATCGCGTCTAGTAGGATGTAACAGGCCGAGAACCGAAATTCATCAACATAAACGAGATCTCTTTTTCGCGACAAGGTTATCAGGATTACTCACAATGGTTATCAGGGCAACGACGTTAATCATGCACTTGTAAGGCTTGGCCTCACGTCTTCTGCGCTCCGACAGGCTCAATATATTATCCATGGTGTCCTTTTGACGACCGCGTTTTTGGACCCTCGATGGCAGACACTTAATTCCACGGGTGACACAATTTGTCCGGAGAGACGAAGGTCGCTTCGGTTGTACCAGGACCTTGTGGTTGAGGCGCGAACCTTTGGTATGTTGCCTTGACTCTTAAAAACTTGCAGTTCTTCGCAGGCAGTGCTGATGAACTCACTCTTTTTTCGCAATCTTAATGACCCACGAAGATGAACCTAAGGATCGACGAACTTGCGAGTTCTTGGGAGATAACCCTTTTGTTAACCTGAATGCACCAGACACTTCAAAAGCCTCGTTCTTGCCGCTTGCCTTCCGTTCAACTCTTTCTCTCTCACGGTATGCAAACTAGCGTTGTTTCCGGTCAATCCGTCAGCCTTGAATCGCTCGCCGCCCGTAGAAGACAACCCTCTGGTACCCACTGCACGCGTCAAGAATACAAGCCCAGTCCGTGACGTGATCTGATCCTTGAAGTGATCTCGCTGAGGGCGTCCACCACCTTAGAAAGAACGACGGGTCAAACACGCAGTTCCATCGCCGCCTCACACACAGGTATCCCTGTTGCCTTCAACGGCCGGGTCATCGATGTCCGACTTCTCATCCCTGGCGACGTCACCGCCTTCTCCTGCGCAAATGTTGTGTGGCGGGCGGCCCGATAAGGGGCACCGTTACGACGGCTGCTCCCCGTGCCCGGTATGCCGTTATCAGAAACGATAAGATAGCAGCGCTTCTATGGGCGGTGTTCGAAGGCGCTTCGCAGCGTCACCGGGCGGCTCCTGCAACAGGTATTGCGGCTCGTGGACTTTGGTGTATTTGCGGGATCGGGATTTCTGCCATAGCTCTGACAGCGGACGAGAGGACTGGGGAGAGATAAACGATAGGTCGAAGTCGCCCGCGTTCCACGAACGTTCTCAATGACTTATATCAGGATTCTTTTTTTTTTTCTCGGCGAGTCCTTTATGGCACAAGCTAGCGCAAGTAACTAACTGCGCAGATAGGTACAGGTCGCATTTTCCTCGACCCTTAAGTGATCATGGTCTAATGCGGCTCTATAAAAACGCTCCTCTTCCAAGTAAAAAAAAACACTCTAATAAGCCTATTAATTTATTAATCAACAAAAATTGACACATAAACATTGAATATTGTAAAAACATTAAAAATCGGTTCTTTGTTAACCTCAGCCTGTCACTGGAAGCATCGATAAGTAAAATTTTGCGTAAACCAAGTTACTGTTAATGAATTTAAAGGAAACCGGGCAGATTTACCGCAACACGTGCGATTCCGTTCCGACATTCGGTACCTTACAGAAACACTATGCGAAATATTGTTCCATATATAATACTTACTTTACTCATTCTGTGTTTGGGATGCAAATAAATTATGCGTATGTTTCAAACTATCAGAAGGAGCACAGAAGTTACAAGTGGTGGCCGTTGCAATATCTAACTCTACGTGTCTTTGTATGCGTCACGACGATTACTAGAACCAGTTTAAGAATATAAACCTAAGCTGGTTAGGCGAATCTTCGCACACTGAATGATTTGATTCGGGTGATCACAGATCAAAAGACATGAAGCAAAAACCTTTAGTTAGCAACACAGAGGGAGTTTTGTCCTTATCGATACTAAAGCCCCTCTATCCTGGGAAAAGTGGCGCCATTCAATCTTGCAGGAATGCTAGATGCACGTCCCTCGCGCCAATTCTGGGAAGAACATGGCGTCTGAAATCTAGCTCAGTGCTGCGCTGTGCCGCCATGATCTTCCCAAGGGCTGCACGTTGCACGTGCCTCGTGCATCGACGTACTTTGCGCTACTTTTAAAACATGAAGGGGCTTTAATCGATACGGGTGTATCCACAAGAGCCCTATATACCAATTCCATTTTCGACACGGAGGTTTCACTCTATTCTCGAGAAACAAAACAAGCAAAAACAAAAACATTGTCAGGTTAAGGGTAACAGGTGGTAATTAAGAACAAAAAACAACTACAAACAACAAATATTAATTGCCCCAGGAGCAGGCTCGAGCCGTCAGCCGCCCCTATCTGCTAGAGTCTATTTTCGTAGACCCTGCCACCTTGGCAGACGTGTCAGCCAGATAAAGCGTACTTTGTAGACCGTGACAGCCGAAGCTACAGATAGGCTACACGATTTCCCGTTTTTATTCTCGAGTAAAAAAACAAGTCGATGTCTTTTTAATTTGTTTAGTTTGTAAAAAAAAAAAGTATGTTTTCAGTAGGGGAAAATGTGACTACCGTAATAATATACAGACAAGATGTAATTTCTTATTTGAAGCTTGCTTCATACAACACGCTTAGCACACAATCTACTGACTATGAAAACCTTGAAATTTGTCAAAAACTTTTTTATATAACCGTTTGGGTCTGAAAGGAGAATTTTACAATTTAAGTACGTAACTGTTGTTTTTCGGTGCTAATCGGTTGTTTGTTTTCGACGCCGGTGGATCTTCACAGTTTTCATTTGGTTGAAATCGAGATGACTTCTACCTGGTAACAGCTGTGTTAAATTATTGGATAACCAGGTAGATACGACAGAGCCCCAAATATTGGGCAGCGGCTAGCATTTTATGTTTATGTTTTATTACGATAAATAAGATATGTTTTACGATGAAATGTGGTACGCTATACGCCATGTATAGTATTCACCTTTGATACCCTTGCTTTAAACGTCCAGACCCACTGGACTGAGGCGCCACCAAGGCACCGAGTAAGACACTCATTCCGCCCAGACAATAGTCAGGGAGATGACAAAGTGTTCACCTTTATGTCAGTCATCACTCAGATAATCACTGCTTGATAATTTTTACTTTCCCTACGTCCTCTGCCGTCACACTAATTGTTTTGTACAATACTGACCCACGATATGGCAAGTGGCTTATTGAGCAGCTACGTAGCTAATTATAGTTCGTTTCACCTTTAAAAAAAAAGGAAAAAAAAAAGAGCAGTCGACGTTAGGAACCGATAGGACCAATTGCGCAGGGCTGAAAGAGCAACTTCACGGCGTTCCTCATCTTTCATTTCGTGTTTCATTGCCGGTTCATCCGATGAACACAAAAATTGCGCCGTGATCCTGCGCTTTTAGACTGTGTGTATGCGTTTGTGTACCTTCCAGCCCTTTACTGCACTCTTACTTATATGGATTGAAATCGTCGGTACCTCTCATACTTTCTGAGCAGCAGAAAAAAATCTTAAAAACTACAGGTTTTACAAAACGTGCTAATTCGAGGCATGGTAATGGTCGGCCTCTTCGAGGTTTATCTTTAGGCGTAAAATTCGCAAAAATGGGACAATGTTGTCTTGGCGGTAACTAGGACGCGCATTCTACTTGCGCCCCACCCTTACTTGGTTTCAGCTTAAGTTAGAACGCTGCCGACACAACGAACAGGTAGGGCAAGACAAACTGATAAAAACGCCGGATAAAAGGGCGTTCGTGACCTTTGTGTGAGTAGGCTATCATTGGCTAAAGCAAATCAACATAAGTGAACATGCCGTGACCAGATAAAATCGAGCCTCGCGGCCACGATTTTATCTGGGCTTCACGAAATGCGAACCCCCCTCCCCCCCCCCCCGTGCCCCACCCACACCCACCCACTTTGGGTGGGTGGAAGCGGGGGGGCTTTTTAATTTTTTGCGCGTGGCTCGTTATGTAACGGCTTTCAGCTGCGAGGTTCTGGTACGTGCAACATTCAGCGCATACACTGTGGTTTTGCTGTGATTATTTGGAGCTCGACGTGGAAGAGAACGAGCCGAACCCATCGTTTTCGGCGTGTCAGTGATGGCGAGCTGGGCCTGTCGCATCTTTTTGTGAGACAACTCGTTAATAGGCTTTGCTTTCTAAGGGACCAGAAGGACCCTTTTCTGCGTTCGGTCATTCAGGTACGGTTACGTAGAGCAGTGCCCGAATTTATTGTTTCGATTGATATTGATTTCGTTTTTGTTGTGCGCGGTTTTTTTAGAAGAGGTTTTTTTCTGCTAATCCGTTTTGGGCAACGCGGGTTTCGCTCGAGTATTTGTCCAATGTGTCACGAAAGCGTTTGACCAAAGACCCGATTGGTTTCCTTTTTCCTACTCCGCTGTACTTCTCGTTGAACAGTGAGGAAAATGGTTCTGGATGTCTTGAAGCGAGACAAGCGAATGAAAATGCCCGACTTCACAAAATCTTTTTGTTTTCAAACTGCACAGTGACATTTTGTTGGTCAAAGGTTTTTTTTAGAGGGAAAAGATATTCCTGTTGCATGGTCGGTAAACTGTTTACTTTGCAAAATGACAGAGACGATAGAATACGTTTTTCTTAACTGCTGGGACGCAGTGTTCCTTTCGAATGTCCTTCAAAGTACCACAAAAAAATACAAGATTTACCGGTAGCATCTCACATCTAACATTCGTTATTTGTCTGTGGATGGAGGAGACAACATTGTACTCTATGATATGATCATGCTGGTGGGTCTCCATTGCTTATGGCGCTGCCACATGGCTGTAAAACACGCGGACGTCGACGTGAATCTCGCACACAAGTATTTTGTTGAAACGATGCGTTTTTTTAAGGAAATGTTTAAAGGGGTACTAAAATCGATTTTGAGATCATCCTTTTAAAATGAAAACTCATTCTACACGCTCTAAGCATTCCAATAAACCCGAAACCACAACCATATCTAGGTCATTTCCTCGTTAAAAGCCTGTTCAAAGATCGCGACACGCCCTTTTTGGGAAGAATTTTCTTCCAAGTGAAGTTGTCAACGAAGGGTTCTTATCGGCGAGTTGCAAGTGATGGCTTCGCCCGCGGAGAAAAAGAAAGTCTTATCCGAATCGAATTCTTTTTGAAACTAGTTGTAATAAAATCATTCGGAATCTGCTCGTATCGGCCCACACAATGTAGTCCGCGAGGGAAAATAGTCCACACGTTTTTCTTTTGCCCTGAGATGAATAGGTGCTTTTGTAATATAGCACTTGGTATATGTGGGAACTAACACATTTTAAACAATACAAGATAAAAACGACCTTTTTCAAAAATGACTTCAGTGCCCCTTTAAAGTACAACAGTGACCCTCGGACTTATTGCGGCGTTTTGAGAAGCTGGCTACCATCACAGGTCTGTGATGGTGTTTGATGAGCCAGATTTTTGTATGTGCACATAGTCCTTGAGGCTTATTTTTAATATTTTATTGTACGTGAGGTTTGTTTGCCACCTAAGCCAAAAACAGACAATAAAGAAAAAAAAAAGATTTTTTTGTGATGTGCTGGAAAGACGCTAGCTTAATAATCTAAATTGTAAGGATTCGAAAAAAGCGCAAACGCTTTTTTACTGCGATGGCCTGTTCCCCCTACCCAAAACCAATCAGTGTCGAGCGCTTATCCACGCGTTTATCTGGGCTTCACAAAATGCCGAACACCTAGCCAAAGAATACTTAAGCTAAAGGAGTGTGCATGAAGGGCGAGGAGGGAGAAGGAATGCCTTTGCTGTCGGAGTGCAGTGCATGCCCATGTCGCCAATCAAATAACGCCGACGGTGCATCGTCACGCCTTTCGTCGTCTTTCTTTGAACACATCCTTCGTGGCTTGTAGACGGTGACAGTGCGCGTTTAGTCCGTGTGTATGTGCTTGCGTGTCTTTCAGCCTTTAACTGCGCTTTGACGCCAGTATAAACCAAATATAGGAAGGCCATCTGCTATTTGGGGCGATCCAGGCGGCGCTACAGTTAACTCGAGGAGTGCGAAAGAGCACAACAAAAATGACCGCATCTCCACGTGGTGAATAATGTTGATTGGGGCGAAGCTCTGGTGGTGCTGATGATACTGATTTTATTGTTGATAGGTAGTGCTGATCAACGGTCTATGTCAGAAAGAGAATGTGTGGTATGGAACGTGGTTATATACGCATTTGAGCATTCGACCGCAGCGCC